ATTAAATAAAAGTTAAAAAAGCCAGTAAGGGCTGTGAAACTTGCCCTTAGTTAAAGTTGCCACTTTCATAGACTTTAGCAATTTCCTCTCACCTTGCTGGTGAAGATAGTGCTACTGAGCCAGGCAGCATCCATGAATATGCAAGGGTTGCTGGTGGTACAGCCTACAGCTGTGTGTCTGTTCTTTGTTCTCACTGTTCCAAGGAGGTTCTGTTCTGTTCTGTGTATTTGCCACAGAAAATTTCTCTACAATCGTCTGCTTGAAACATAGTCCTTCCTTTTTTTTTTTTTTTTTTCCCAGTTTTCTGTCTGTGGCTGAAGATAGTGTGACTTCTGTCTATTCAGCCATCTTTGGTTTACAAAAATATATTTTGGAAACCTAAATGGAAAACAGAAAAAGTTCAAAGTATGTAAGACTTCAAATATAAATTTGTTTTCTATATTACTATATGCAAAGTGAACCATATTTCTTTTTTAAATATACATTTTTTCCGTATTTTCATAATGTAAACTAAAGTCATCTTTTAGATCAAATGTCTTCATGATTCCAGTGGTGACTTGTTTATTTAAGCCTGGTCATTTTATATTTATGTTTACATTTTGCTTTAAAAACTGTAGGATTTATAGATAAATTTCTTCCACATGAAGTAAATCTCAGTGGATGATCATAGTCTTCTATTTCATTGCTGTGGCAGCAGAAAATCAGCAAAATTCTGTGGTGCTGTCTTTTATATCCATTTATATTTGCTACTTGATATTCTACAATACTCATTTATACGTGTGCTGAGGATAAACTTAGATAATTATATTTTGAAATGATAGATTCACTAATAACTGAAATGCTCTTATTGCAGAATGTAATTAGAAACATTTTCAAACTCTTTCTGTGTCTTTATTGAAAATCCCATTGGAAGGAATATTTAGTTATGTGATACCCATCATAACTTTAAAACGGTTTTACTATTCCTTGGAAACAAGTAGTAGGACAAATAGCATAGAAGCATGGTAGTTTATTGTCTGAATCTTTTGTGCCTTAAAAATTGATTAATTGACTGACAGCATGGTAAATTAGATGCTACCCATAAGATTTGGAAAAAAAAAAAAAAACATTTGTGTGTCAATGTCAACAACATTGTTTTCCAAGGTATTCCTATATCCAGATGTAAAGGACACTTGACACTTTAGCAAAATCAGCTTCTTTGATTATCAATCATGAGAGGGAAAAATCCTTATTAGCTATTTATTGTGTAATGATAATATAATACACTCCTATGAGATCTTTTGGAAAATAGTTTAAAATCGTTTCATCTCATGTCTACTGAAGTACATTTTAAGCAATGGTATATCCATGGTCACTGTGGCGCGCATTCAAATGAGTTTAAGTTAGTTTCAGATCTTTTATCCCTAAACTTTATTCTATACAACATAATAAAGATGGAAACAAGATGCCTGCATACAGAATGATGGAAACAGGGGAAATGTTTGTGAAGTAAGCTAGAGAGGGAGTATCGAACTTCAGTGTCAGTATGCCTTTGGCTTTATATTTTATAGAAATATTTTACAGAATGAGGAGACCCTGAATAACCATTTGGGAAACAAAAATGACAAATGGTTGCTTCTTTATAGTTTGATTGAATGTAGGGTTGCCAGGTTAACATATAAGAGTTTCATTTAAATTTGAATTTCAGATCAACAACAAATAATGTTCATTCTTCATACTAGTAAAAATTTATGTATTTGTGCTAAGTAGTTCTTATCAGCAAAATTATTAATCTGATATTCAAATTTAAGTAGAGAATTTATAATTTTATTCATTAAATTTAGTAATGCTTCTTAGATGTCTTTTGTATCATTGTTGATCAGCTAATTGACAGAACTTTCTCCTTGTTTTTTCTTTCAGTTGTTTGATTACAAAATCAGTCAGGATCAGACTAAGTTGGTCATGGTAATTGGGTTTCCTTTTCCACTTATTGTCATACAGTGCAGATGTACACTGAATGCAAAATAAGGAGAAACTATTGATAACCTTTGGAGTACAATTGTACTTGACTAAAGGCAACCAAAGTGACATAGTTGTGCTTTTCTTGGACCCAACCAACAATCCCCCACAGAAATGTGCTTGAGGGTTGCACTAATGATATGATTGACACCAAGCTTGGGAAGTCAAAGTTTTTAAGTGCTCATACAAGTAGAGAAGAGCTTCACCAGCTGGAAGTTGGTATTTTCAAGATTATTGGAGAATTTACAGTATTACATGTGCAAAGTAATTTATTAATGAGAAAGCTTACATTTCCTATGAATTCACACAATTGGTTGGAATTAAGATATACCCAACAGTCCTGGGTGTCATCAAACAGGAAATTTATTTCCTGAATTTTTCACAGCATGTCATAAGGGTTACATAACAACTTAACACAGATGGATTACCTATGATAGTGGAGGAGGTAAAGAACAGCAGAGAATTAAGTGTGAAGACCTTGTTCATCAAACCTGGATACTTACGCTAAACAACTGTCAGTCGTACAATACAAACTAATGGATTCCTGCCATTAACATAGAAAGAGGAAAAAGGACATTACATCACTGTCTTGCTTCTTATTTCGGTCATATATAGCAGAAACTATGATGGCCATATTGAAACAATCCATTGAAAATTATAAAAGTGATTGAAGAAGTTGGATTCCTTATGTCAAACTCTTCACATATTAAAGCTTGAACCATGTACATTTGATTCATTATTATTAAAAAATTTTTAAAGATTTCTCCAAGTTTACTTCTTGCAGCTAAATTTGCACCAAAACAATAATAAAACTATCCATCCATTAATTTATCTAGTTTTTTAAAAAGAACAGTTTTAAAGGTTCCTACAGTGTTTTCTTTATCTGAGAACAATTACTAGTGAAAATTATGAGTAATATTCTGCTTCAGACAATAGATATGGACATCCACAAGACAGATATATCACTTTCATTAACATAGGAACATTAAGGATGTAGAAAAAGGGGAAATCCTAGAGTTTAGTTAAGGCACTTGTCAAATGGTAAAAACTGATTGAGAACTAAGTTTGGTAAAAAAAATCATTAGTTATTGACCTGGAAATTTTGTGATGAGTAGACATCCAAATGTAACAATAAGGCATAATGTAGATATGGTATGTCATTATAATGAAGCATTAGAATTAAAAATACATATTTGAGACTTAAAAGTAGGTATGTAGAAGTTAGGTATAAATGAAATGTCTTTGGTGAAGTGTATAGTCTAAAAAAACCCAAAAAAATCCTTGCAGGGATATGTCTTAGAATAATTAATAGTTGAAAGTCTTATAAGAATTAGGGACTATTAAGGAATATGGAGAAGTGACATCTATTGAAGTAGATCAGTTTTTTTTTTCCCAAAAGATCAATTGCATTAAACACTACTGACCACTTTCTTAAAATGAAGACAAAGCAACTTCCATTGATTTTAGCAAGAAAATGCTCTCTGTATCCTTGACAAAAATTCTAAATGCTACGGTGGGCAATTGTATGTAGTATATTAAAATGTCATAGGCAGTGAAGAAAGTGTCAGCACATTTTCCTATGTTTCCTTTGGGGGGTGATGCAGTCAGTGGGAGAAAAGGAATGAAAACAGAAGAGCAACAGAGGTATACAACAAATTCCATGTGCTGACAAGCTTCTGGTAACTTCTCTAAAGTATAGCTGATGAGTAATAAAAAGAGGATGAGTTCCACGAAATGTGAAGTAAATAGCATTTTATAACACTGATGACAGAGAACAATTTTACATTGTGATATTGATAAAGAATATGGGGCCACACGTAACTGACTCTTCAGTTGGTGAAGGAGTAGTGAGAGAGGCAATATTACGATGAGACCCATTTAATTTTCTTTTTTGAAAAAAATTAAAGATTTATTTATTTGACAGGCAGAGTGACAGAGAGAGGGAGAGAGACAGAATGAGAGGTCTTTCACCTGCTTATTCACTCCCCAAATGACTGCAAGGACAGAGCTAGGCTGATCCGAAGCCAGGAGCCAGGAGTTTCTTCCGGGTCTCCCATGTGGGTGCAGGGGCCCAAGCACTTGGGCCATCTTCCACTGCTTTCCCAGGCTATCAGCAGGGTGCTGAATTAGAAACAGAGCAGCCAAAACTCTTCAATGGAAGCTTAACCTACTACAACGTGGTGCCAGCCCTGATGCATTTTCAAAATGAATTTTGAAGCAAGATCACCTGCTACAACTGCTGATAGGAGAAAGCCTGAGTGGCTTAAGAAAAAAAAAAAAAAAAAGATCCAAAACTGCTCCATTTCATGAGAACAAAGTTGAAGTATCTGGTAGAATTATCCATTTGAGGTCTATTCTCCTGAATTTAAGTATCTACATAAGTTAGATGTATGCTTTTTTTCTCCAGAAACTTTGGAATGTAAATAATTAGATTCAACATTTGCTATGATTCTATATAGGGATGCAGATGAACAAGGGAAAGTATAAAGATCTGTGGAAACCTTATGTTGCTAGGACTTTGAAAGCTTTAACCTGATAAAGGAACTGCTACGATATGTTTGTTCAGAAAAATAACATGGGACATTAGGAGAGATGGTCAGGTTTTAGGGTACAGAATTCAAGGTTTCGAGTGAGACAATACTGAGCATATGTGCCAGGCTCTGATTATGAGAGTGGGAGGCAAAGTCAAGGAGTTGAGATAACTGGCTATTAGATGAGTCATGTAAGTAGATGAAACAGTTGCAAGATTCACAGCGATAGATATGAAGAGGAAAAGCAGGGCTCAGTAGTCCACTAACGACTAGGGCAGTGAGCAGGAAACCTGAGTGTAATAGCAAAGAGAGTAGGCAGGTGGCACTACATCTGCTAGAATGCGCATTTATCAACAAAGGCTTTTGAAGGAAGAAACAAATGTGTCTTGGGGGAGGTAAAGATTCCTTACGCAACAGAGGAAGGGGGCAATGAAGAGAATAACATTTTTGTTTAAATTGACTTATTTTAAGGTACCTGAGGGAGATGGTGTCCTCAGAATGACACACACATCCAATTATTGTGGAGAGAAGAAACATGTAAATACAGCATTCATGATAGAGATCTTTGCTGATTACAGATGTGGATTGTTTGAAGGTAAAATTAATTTTGCATGATTTTCAGTAAAAGTAGAATAACTGGGTCTAACAAGGGGATAAGGAAAGCTAGGATGGAACAGGATTATTTGATTCTGATTATAGCTCAGAAAGAATGAAGTGAGGAGATGTGGAGAAAGTCTTAAAAGTCTCTGAAATGAGGATCCATATTTGTAAATATTCTACCTGGAGGTTTCTTATGGTGTACGAGATGGTCTATTGCCAGCAACTGTCAAATATATTGAATCTCCTTTTCATTTTTTCTAAGATTTATTTATTTTATTTTTATTTTACTTGAAGAGCAGTTACAAAGAGTGAGAGAATGAGAGAGAGAGAGAGATCTTCTGTCTACTGTTTGACTCCCCAAATGGCTACAATGGCCAGAGTTGGGCCAGTCCTAAGACAGAAGCCTGGAATCATCTGGATGGGCATCTAAAATATTGCTTCTTAGTACAAAAATGAAATAACAATGAAAGCAGCAACAAAAAAGATAAATGTCATAAACATTTAATATTCACGTTAGTTTACTAATCTATATAGAAAATCCTCAATTTATTTTGCCTTTCCACCTACATCTGAGAAAGACCCAAACATGCATATACACACACACCACATTAAGCTACAGACAAAAAGAATGAGTAACAAAATGATGAAGTTTTAAAATCATCCTAACACAGTGATTGGGTATCATATAATTTGGAAACTTGCTGATATAATTTTGATGTGTTTTAAGAAATATGAAACTTTTATGACCCCATAAAAAGTTAACTGTGTGACGTTATTTTTTTGCTATGATGAGAAGTTTTATTGTGGGTTCATTACCCGAAAGCATCTAAGGTATATTTTACTATCCAAATTTGGAGTTAATCCAGAACAATTACTTTTTTAATCTACAAGTCTAACATCATTTCTATTTAATTTTTCAGTTCAAGTAAATGTGGCACATGCTATTAAGAAAGAATTGGCTATGTTGCTATAGTGGTAGCATTACATAATAGTTTTAGTATACTTTTAAATTTATGCTTTGACAATTTTTAATCTAAGTACTTTACATTTAATACAGGTATTGTATAGGTAGTTGGATGTTAATATACTATTGAACTTCAAATTAATAATTATAGCTTTCTGTTTACATTATTCCTATAATCATATGTAATTTAAGTCAAATAATTAAAATATTTACAATTAGTTAATAACAGTTTTGTATTAAATATTTGAAAATATAGTAATGACCTAGAAAGTAGTAATTTAAATACGATGATAAAACCAGATAACATTAAATGCTTACTATTTACTTACTGTTTTAAAATCTCTTCAAGAATTAATTCATTTAAACAGCAACTATCTGGAGTGAAACTATTATTATTATCTCATCTTACATGTTAAGAAATAGTGCCAGAGGACATTCCTGATTTGTTCAAGGTCACTCATATTGTCAATTCTAGAGAAGGATTTGAATCCAGGTAATCAGCTGCTAACTTGTCATTTCTAACATTGACAACTGCTTCCAAAGAGAAGACAAATTTAATAATCTATATTTTCATTTGGATATCTATGCATAAAAACATGTTATACTAATTTTATTGTGCATCTAATTTTCATCTTGTGTTTGTTGAATAATTAATTATTCTATGATTCATAAGTGTAATAGATTACCCTACTGAGTATTTTTAAAAATCAATTAATTTATTTTAATGTCTATAAGGCAAAATTATAGAGCTTGTAAACATTCTGTAATTTTTGAAAATATAGTTGCTAATTATTGTGAAAATATCTTTTGGAAATGATAACAAAATTGGTCTGACTTATATACATTTAATAAAACAAAATGTACATTCCAAAATTTTCATTACATGAAATATTAATTTAATATGTAGATGTAAACATTTCAAACATGTTAACTGTTCCATATTTTATTAATTAATTAATTTTGAAACAGAGAGAGAGCTACCAGTTGTTTGTTTACTTCACAGATGGCCAGAAAGGTCAGGACTGGGTCATGCCAAAGACAGGAAGTTTCTTCCAGGTCTCCAAAGTGGATGGTTGGGACCCAGGCACTTAAAACATTTTCTATTGTTTTCCCAGGTCATTAGTGGGGAGCTGGATTTGAAGTGGAGCAGCAGGACTTGAACTAGTGCCTAAATGGGATATTGTTGTGTCTCAGGTGGTGGCTTTATGCACTGTGCCATAATACCAGCCCCCAACTGTTCTGGTAAGTAATGTAAATTGAGTTTTCTTTTATCTATACAGTTTAAAAAAGGAGCTTAGATTTTAAAATCACTTTGACTAGTTTGCAAATGTTCATTGTCCACCAGAAATGTTCTTCAAGATAGAATAATCCAAGGATTAGCAATGGTTTTATGGTTAGATCAATTATGATCAGGAATCGTGAAACACATGCTCCTGAGATGAATTTTTTTTCTCACTCTAAAACTGATGAAATTGAAGATTTGGTAAAGTTTGATGGTGCTGTGAGGCATTAAGAGGCGTTGATATACATATAGTAGGGGTAAGTTTGACAAGTTATCTAAAGAAATTTCAGGTCTCTGGTTCTATAAATAAATGTAAAATAGCAGTGCAACAGAGGCAGCAAATGACCTACGTAAGTGATTCCTGAAGCATGCAATAATGAATCACATACTCAAAAATGCTATACCATTTAAACTTCTTTACAGGGTGAACAAACTGGTAATCAATAAGAAAACACAATTTATGTTTTACATTTCTCCTAGGATATTTTTATGAGAAAATTTGTTGTCATTAAATCATTAGTAAAGTATAAATCATTTTAAACAAACTTGAATTAATGGAAAATTTCACAGAATTAATCTGTTTAGTACTTTGGAAAATACTATGTTCATCTACTTGAGCATCAAGCTTTTTTATTCTTTATTTACTGCTATGCTGAAATGCATAATATGAAAAGGTATTATGGCTGTACAATCTTCAAAATAACCGAATGCTTTCATGAGACTACATAATTCACGGTATAGGCTATTCCTTCTTCTCCTATTAGAATTGCTGAAGTCTCGTTTTCCTTATCATATTCTTGGTTATAACTGCATATAGCAGTTATCCAAATATTTGAGGAAAATATAGTTTTTCTTCAGATGTTTGGAATTATATTTATGCCATCTTCATTTCTTGTTTATTTGAAAATAAGAGCAAGAGAGAGGGAGATAGAGAAAGATAATTTCTTATTTTTTTAAAAGATTTATTTATTTATTTGAAAGTCAGAGTTACACAGAGAGGGGAGAGGTAGAGAGAGAGGTCATCCATCCACTGGTTCGCTCTCCAATGGGCTGCAACCGAAGCCAGGAACCAAGAGTACCTCCAACATGGGTGCAGAGGCCCAAGGACTTGGGTCATCCTCCACTGCTTTCCCAGGCCATACCAAGGAGCTGGATTGGAAATAAAGCAGCCAGGACTTCAACCCAGGCACTCTGACATGGGATGTGGTCATCTTAACCACAGAGCTAAATGCCTAACTCTATACCATTTTTCTTGCTTATTAGTAAAATTGTCCCTTGCATGATTCAACTATTACTTTATTTTTCAATAATTTTTATGGGATATGTACAATGTCTTCAGCCAAATACTGGCTAAAACACAAAAGAAATCTTGTATATCTCCCATCCAAAAAAAAAATCCAATACTTCTGTATGTGGAGTTATACAATTAGAGGATTGCTATTAATTGTTTGAACAATATTCATTATTTATAATGCAAATTTCCAGTGAGATTTCTTGACTACTTTTTAAAATCTAAATTATATTTAGTTCCATAATATTACCTTTAATATCTCCCCCCCCCCCCAAGAAGTAGAAAAAAAATCAAAACTGTAGTCTTTCTGATTCCTTTTAAATGGAGGTTATTTCTTCTTTCCTGTCGACAGCCACTGAGTATCTGAAGGATGAGTCCTCTGTGCCCCTTCCACTCAACCCTGTAGAACATAATAGATACGGGGACTTTGAAGGTCACCAAAACTCATCTGTTCAAATTTTTCTAAGCCTTTTAGAACTATTTCACAGGAGTAAAAAAAAATTATATTTTATTGACTTCTGTTTTTGTACTGAGTCTACAATTGCCTTGATATGCATTATATTGCATAGTTTGTAGAAAAGAAAACGAGGTAAATTCCTGATTTTCAAAGCTGGGCACTGAGAAATATTGAGTTATTCACCAAGAATCACAACAAAAGTCAGTGAAAGAGACTGAGTTTAGACCTGTTTCTATCTGATTGCAAATCCTGTCCTCTTAAAAATTGCTCTATTTCGTACCTTTCCTAAATCCCCTGACATCTCTAAAAACTAGACTCTACAAACAGTTTTGAAGCTACCAAAAATAGGCTTTCTGATTGAATAACAAGTTGGTGCAACATCAAGGTCCCTTTTTCATGTGTTCCTAAGGGTAGCATTGCAATGCAGTTTTCTTCTCTGAAGTGACTTTTTTAAGAGCTCAAGGACTTGACTGGAACCCACTTCTGTACTCATATTTGTTGTGTGAAATGTGTGATTTACAGCAGGGATGCACAGGCTGATGAAACTCTGGCAAACTTATGTCCCAGTATCACTGTTTGATGAATGTAGTTAAATAGCAAATGTTAATTTATTTACATTTGAAAGAGTAGAAGTTTCAGTTATGTCTGTTCCATCAATTTGCTATTTAATAAAAAGTACTGTCAGTTAGAAAACTCTGAAGCAAGCGTGCATAACACTGTCTTACGAATGTCAAAATTAGAAACTTAGTACTTGGGGAGAAAAGAATAGCAATCTTCACCGCACCACCAAGGAAAGCACTGTCCCCTGGCTGACTTTCTGATGTGCACTTCAAATCCCTACCTGTCTACCAGCTAAGAACCCAGTAGCTGTATTTTTGCACTGTCAGAAAATAATTTAAAATGTTTTCTGCCTGCATGGACACGGTGCTCTCACTCTTATAAGCCTACAATTTACATCTTTTAAGATTTAAATACATGACCGATGGCAGCAGGGGAAATGATGTGAACTTCACAGCATTCTGCAAATGGCTGCTCTGAGACTAGAAAGAGGGTAGAAGGTTCAATCACTATGCATTTGATCTTAGGATTTGGCTATGTCAGTGAAATAGAATGTGTTAGGGGATAGGACACTCAATTGGCTTTTGGCCAGGAAACTGATTGCATGCTGTGATATGCTATCTGGATAAATAAATATGTTTGAACCCACAGTTGGATGAGAATATTTGGTAGGTTGGTTGAGAAGCAAATTCAATATATTAGAAGATTTACTTCATTCTTGTGCTTCATTAAAAATGTTCCCAAACTATAACTGTGGGTTGTGTTTGGGGGTTGTAGAAGATGAGGTCTTAAGCCATTCGCATCTTAACATATCCCTAATTGTAACTTTGCCAGTTGATAACACATTATATATCATTCATATAAAAGTGAAGGAAAGGAAGAGATTTAGAGCTTAAAGGATTCCTATGAGCATCATCAGCTTCTTTTCAGAGAAGACGATGGCTATAGGGAAGACTAGCTAGCACTAATTAGTGGAACTGCTAAAAGCTGCTCCAATTTTCCCCACTCAAGGTCATTCATTAACAACTTAAGGTAGAAGATCATATTTGAACATAGAAGATCTTTTGACGTGGTTTTACTCTCAATATGTTATTATTACACAGTTTAAAATTTAGTAGATACCTGTACAAAAAGTGAAAATTGACTTAAAAATCAAGTATTCTAATAGAGGCTATTCATCAAAAAAAGACTGCTATAAGTAGTTTCTGTTTTATTCAGTTGCTCTGATTTAATGCCCTCATCTTTCAGCTGTGAAGATAGTAGTATGTAACTCCTAAGTTTGTGTAAATGATTTCTACAATGAAGATGTATAAGGCACTTGGAAAAAAAAAAAAAAACTAGGTCCATTATAATTGCTACATATCAGTATTTGTAGCTATTAGACCCTTATTGTTCTAGAAGAAAGTTAAAGCTTCATCATGCAAAATCTGATTTTATTAATGAAGGAAAATTCAATGAAATTTTCCTTAAATAAGATGGCTACTGTTGTTTCAGTGTAGAAGGAAGAAAATTGCCTTAAAAGACAATTAGCTAATGTTTAGACTGTGCCTTTTATAACAGAAAGTGACTTCAGTTCTGCTTTTGTTGAAAAGTTCAGACACGATAATGAAAAAAAAATTACAATTTACTTCTGTTAAGTTCCCTTCCTGTTTGTCAATGAATTTATGATTCCAGGTACTAAAATATTTTATAAGGTTATTTTTAATTACTTGGAGGAGAGGTACAGGGCAAGAAAACACAGGGTAAAATACTCATTAAATCCACTGAGTTGTATATTAGAGATATTTTCATGGAATATTGACATCCTAAAAGTAATACTTACATAATTTCCCAGCATGGAATAATATATGCCTGCACATATTTTGCATAAGTTATTACCTTCTACCAAGGAATGAAAATTAGAATTGTTTAAAATGGGATATGCTTGATAGTGAATCAGATTTCCCTAGTATGTAAATTATTTCCTGGGAGTGAATAAGGCACATTGGGAGCAATTTAATAAATGATCCCCTGGAGGTCTGAATGGATTAATGAAGCTGATTATCCTTTTCCTGCAGAAGGAGAAAACTGTCACTCTGCAGTTAGCCTAAAATGAGCTCTCCATAGTGCAACTTCAAGGTATTTTGTGGGGAGAAAGGAGATAAATATAGGTGCCCCATTTAATTCTTCTTGGGGTAGAGCAACTTTACATGATCACTTTCTTTCTCTCTCAGTGTGGTGTCATTAGCAAAGGAGCACATAGTCTTAAAAGAGCAAGAGAGTGGGCTAGTTCTATTTAAAAAAAAATGAACTCCAGTGCAGTGGAAACTGGCTTGAGGTGAATGCCATAGCCTACATCTCCTAAATATTGATGCCTAGGGCCACACTGGCCTTTTCCATGTTTCATAGGTATTTTCTAAAATGCACTTCTTACAATGTTTTCTTTCTTTTTTTTTTTTTTTTTTTGTTCTCACACAGGAGAGTGTGTGAGGTGAATATACTTCTTAATAAGAAAACAAAGTGTCCTATCCTTTTCCTCAAAATAACCACATTAATTTTCTAATGTTAGATGACAAATGACCAACAAACTATAGACTTAAATCCACAAAAGCATATCATCTCGTTGTCTAAGTCAATTTCTATTATAGAAATTTCCATAGCAGAAATTTCTAGAC